ATCATCATCATCATCAACATTCAGTGATATTAAAGCCGTTTCATTTTTACACTCCTCATCCAAATGTGTAACTTTGTGATGAAAGTTGGCGGGTCACTCGGCTGGGGGCTGATGGACCGACAGTTACTCGACACGAATGCTTTCATTAGGTTTTTCTATTTTCCTAAAATGAGATCAAACATATATTTATTGAATGCTTTCTTTAAGAGAACAGAATACACTGATATTTATATTTATAGATGCTTAGAGAGATGCCTTTTAATGCATTATAAATATATAGGGCCCAAAAGGCTAACAATGGAACCAAACGACCCACTCATCGGTTTCAATTTGCATGTTTCCAAGCAATACAAGGTCTTGTCTATTTAAAGACTCAAACTCACTGCAGATCCAGACATTTGAATGAGAAAGCTTCCTGGAGAGGTGGAGAAATGTCTTCAAATCTTGGCAACCAAGTCCAGTGGATTGTTTTTTGGGAACTTTTACGGAATGACTATGACCTGGATGACTGAGAACCTTCATCAGCTAAATAAGGGCGATAAGCTCTGGTGTCTTCAGGTTGAGTCAAAGTCTAAAACTCAAGTAGAACCATGATGTTAGAAAAAGAAAAAAGAAAGAAATCATCACCTCCATTATTCACAGCCTGCTGCTCGTTGAGCGGTGGACAATTTAAATTCACTACTGATGATTTGTTGCTAAAGAACTAAAAGAAACCTTATTAAAATTGACTTAGCAAATGGAAAATACTTTGACCTTTCCGTTGATGTTTTGTAAAGGAGCTGTCAGAAGGTAGTTGAGTTGTATCCTTTATTCACCACACAGGGGCGCTGTAGCCCCCCCGGCTGCTTTAGCCAAGCATGCAGTAACATCATTATGCAACAAAGCCAGACAGTGAAGTAAAAAACTTTTTCACAGTTCTTCATGTTTCTGGTTTTTGTTTTTCGGTTTGGTATGATGGTCAGGTTTGGGGGAGTGGCGGCCTAGTGGTCTGGGCATGGAGCTTGGAATCCAGAAGTTCTGAGTTCTAGTCCCACTCCCACAGCCTGCACTCTGAGTCCCTGAAAAGCACTGCTCCCAGGGCGCCGCACAATGGCAGCCCACGGCTCCCCAAGAGGATGGGTTAAATGCAGAGAGTGAGTTTTGTTGCTCTGTTCTTGTGACAGTGTAATGACATAACACTGGAAAATAAAAAATAAAGGGTTGGATGTGCTGTTTTTGTCTTTGAGTTCGTGTTAGACGTGCTTCCTGATCTTCCTGTTCTGGGTTAATTTTTAATAATGATATTGTTGATGATCAGCATTTCATTCAGGCTTCTTTGCAATGTAAACGTCAAGGTGGGGTGGAGGTTTGACAGGAGGACCCAAATGCAGACTGAAGCTGAAGTGGTTTCTTGGAGATTTAATTAACCAAAAGTTCAGCAGAAGGAAAAATTCAAAACATAAATCCACAAGAACTGAGAACCAGGAACTAGAAGTGGGCAAAGAAATGACAACAAACCAGCGAAGGGTGACTGAACAAGAGGAGAATATATGGGAGAGAGAAACCAGGCTAGTTAGCAGATTGGGAGCAGGTGTGAACAGAGGAGGCTAGAAGGGAGCTAGGGAAAAGGAGACTGACACAAGAGGGCAAACTAGAGATATCTAAGAACTCAAGAGAACTCAGAAACTTGAACAGAATCAAAACCACGACAGTAAAGTTTAGAGCTTTAACCAGAAACTTTCTCAAGCCAAATTTTCTGAGTTAAGTTTAAAAAATGGAAATAGATATTTCAAGAAATCAGAGGATCAAGTTACC